AGCTTTGAAAAGTGTCAAATCAGATGTAATAAGAACTTGGCCCTTAAATTGATGAATATTCCAATACCGAGATTCTCGCTCAAGTTTTGACAGGTTCGATCCAGTTCAGGTACCCTGAATGAAATCCATACATACATGCATATACCTTGTTTTTCATCTTGAAGAGGCTTTTGGTTTTAAGAAAACCCACGGAAGTTGTGTTCGAGGTACTGAGCGCAGTCGCACCCCGGATGCTTGTGCTTTACATCCTACAAAAGGCCGAAAATTTTCGCTCATTCATGTTACTTGCTTCTTTACATCGATGAAACAGTTCTTAGTAAAATATTCAAATTCCCAGCTGCCTAGCTTTTTACGTGACTTTTTCAGTACACAGAAGGCAATTATCAGCAACACAATAACTCCAATACACATCAGTGCAACAGCTACGTACCGCCAGCAGGGAAATGATAGTGTTTTTGTCCTTTTCTGAAATTTAAAAAGAAAACAAAAAAGGATCAAGAAATAATCAATACGTATTCGCCCTTGGCCAATTGCGTAGCGAGAGGAAACGCGCTGACATAACACCTTTGTTTAAAAAACAATTACCGTTCGGTTTAAGTAACTTCTATCGTGTCAGTAAACTTGCAAAGGAAAAAGTCAAATGCAGAAGTATGGATCTTTGGGGCGAAGCCAATGTACTCAATCCAAAACAATTTGAGTACATGAAAAAAGGTCGTTCTGCGGTTACACAGCTGTTATCCTGTCTTAACGACTAGGCAAAATCTCACAACAAGAGAAATGCAACGGACGTAATTCTCTTAGACTTCTAGAAAGCGTTCGACAGTGTTCCGCAGAGACGTCTGCTTCATAGGCTAGAAAGATACGGTATTGATGGCCCTCTTCTCAATTAATGGTTTCGGAGCTTTTCAGTTAGTCGGTCGCAACGTGTTGTTTTGCGTGGCAGTTATTCGTCATGGACTCAGGTAAAATTAGGCGTACCTCAGGGAATAATTTTAGGGCCCATCTTGTTCATAATGTACGTCAACTTCTACTGTGAAATTGTACGCAGACGACACTAAACTCTATGGAGAGTTATAGAGCATTCCTGATGATACATGTGCTACAATCTGACTTGTTTCGACTTACAAAAAGCTATAGAATGGTACAAAACCTGGCTGTTGAAGTTTGACCACGATAAATGTAAAACAATGAGAATAACTCACAAACAAGATAAGTCGCTTGAGATCGTATCAAAATGACTTTGAATCGAAATGACCGGTTTTCATACCCCCATATATTTCATTAATGAATTAATTATCAGGGTGCAAAGAAAATCATTTTTACAGCTTGCCATTCGGGTAAGCTGAAGCTAGCATTAACTAGCCCAGACGTTATTTCAACTAGCCCCAAAAGCTTTTCGTCGAGCAGAATTGATTCCACACTTCTTCTGTTATTCGAATTCCTCATGAACATCACTTGCCCGTCGGGCAAGTTAAAAACAGATTTCACTAGCCCAATAGCAAAATCCACTAACCCCAGGCTATCGGACACTAATTTCTTTGCACGCTGAATTATTTTAAAAAAGGAATCCTTTTGTGTGGTTTGCATCATTACATATGTAACTGTTGTTTTATTATTTAAGGATGGATCAAATACTCTACATGTAATCTTGACATGTATTCTCGATCTGTTGTTTACTTTGTTTAGATGTTGCTGCATTTCAATTATTGTACTTACAAGATGGATAGGATGGCTGAAGCAACAGCAGTGGCCAAAGATAAGATTAACATTTTTTTTTGTTTTGTAACACAACATCTTCAGTTTACACTTAGATGATTTGTGTACTGCTCATTTGCTATTACTGTAGCTAAAATAAACATCTGCATTGATCTAGAAAATAAGCTTTTTTCATTTCATTGAAGCTTATCCAAACTAAATACATGTAGTATGAAACCCTTGAAATTTGTTGTTCATTTTCAGTGGTGAAATTCGGAACATCCTGATTGCAGCCTGAATAGGAGATAACAGTTCCACTTGTATGTACATGTATTCCAAATGACTTGTATATATTGTTGATGTCACGCTTCGTAAACATAGAATTTTGTATTTTAATGACACTTTTTTTGTCATAATGACCTGATTTACACTGTAGTGCACCATAATAAAGCCTGTTTTTTCAAAGGATAAACACGAATACCGCAGATAACCGGGCTTTCTTTATACTGCATTTAAGGCTGGTATAGCTTCTTGTTTCTCAAAGATATTCTGGCAACCAGGATTTACCAGATTTGTCTAGAATACCCTGTTTAACCAGACTAATTTTTCTCAATTGGTTCAAGCCTGGTTAAACCCTTGTTAATTGACAGTTCTTCAAGAGCCAGTTTTAGCCTAGTTTTTCTGGTTATTGAATGAGAAATCATGCTTGACAGAAAAACCCTTGTATACCAGGATAACCTGGTTTATTGACTTACTTTAAGAGCCTGGTAAAGCCTGGTTTACCAGTCTTGCCAAGCTAACTAGGAATACCCTGGTTAACCAGGCTTTTTGCACATTGGGTTCAAGCCTGGTAAGCGTGGTTCATTCAGAATTTCACGAGCCTGGTTAAAGTCTGGTTTTCCTGGCTCTTAGAATAACCAAGCTTACCCGACTTACCAGGAATACCCTGGTTAACCAGGCTTTTTGCACATATGGTAAAGTCTGGTAAGCTTGGTTCATTTAAAACTTTAAGAGCCTGGTTAAAGTCTGGTTTTCCTGGTTCTAAGGATAACCAGGCTTACCAGGCTTACCAGGTTTACCCTGGTTAACCAGGCTTTTTGCACATTTGTTAAAGTCTGGTAAGCCTGGTTCATTTAAAACTTTAAGAGCCTGGTGAAAGTCTGATTTTCCTGGTTCTAAGATTAAGGATAACCAGGCTTACCAGGCTTACCAGGTTTACCCTGGTTAACCAGGCTTTTTGCACATTCGGTAAAGTCTGGTAAGCCTAAAACCAGAAAAGTCTGGTTGGTTCAACCAGGCCTTGCACCCTGGTAAACCCTGGTTTAACCAGACTTTTGGCGCAAGGGCAGTGTTGCAGGAGTGTCAGAGGCCGTGAAGGCGGTGTTACAATCACGTGTCAGTAAACTGTCGTACTAAAACTGCTTGAAAACTGATTTTTAAAAAAAAGAAATTTCATTGGCATATTATAAGAATGAGATTTCCGCCGCGAATAGTGGAAAAAGGGAATGGAGGTAAAACCATGTGAAAAAAGAGAAGGTTGGGAAAGGAAAATGGGAGAGAGGAGGCAAGCCCTCTTGGAAAGCAAACCGTGAAAGAATACAGGTAGCCTGTTATCTGTTTGGAAAGGCCTATGAAAAAGTGAAAATAAAAGAAAGAGAAGAAATGTAAGAGGAAAAAACGATAGGGAACGAAAAATTCAGAGAAATGAAATGAAAGAAAGAAGTTTTCTGTACAAACGGATATGGAAAAAGGAATTAAAGGGAGGAGAGCATTTCAAAGAGGACATAATCTGGGGCATTGTAAAAAACAGCGATCCGACTTACAATGAGAAAGAAAACGCCAGAAAAGAGTAAGAAGCGAAAAAGGTCAGAGTGGAGAAAAATGTTGACGATAAAACAAAAGAACGAAAGCAATAGAAGAGGAATAGTTGACAACTCTTTAAGTTGCGACCATGTTGGTTGCCATGGCGCTTAAAATTTTGGAGCTGGCGACTTGATTTGTAAAAAAAGTCTTCCTAAACCAAAACAGTTGGTTGCCAAATGGCGGCCAAGTAAAAATTTTAACTTGAAGGGTTGGTTGAAGAAAATAATTACGATAGAAAACGAGGAGGAGGATAACATTTTTTATTATTATTTAATTTCACCAACGCACACCAAGCGACAACATCAAAACTTTACAGTCTTGATACATTTGTGTAAATGTTTAAAAGTGAAATAAACCCCTCTGGACTAAATCAGGGACAACTGGTATTCTGCAAAAAAAAAAACTATGTGGTTTATTGGTGTTGAAGTGGAGCAAGAGAAGAGTGCATCCCCTCCAAAAAAAAAATCCTGGATCCGCCCCTGTGAATGAAAGCACGTATAGAAAAGAGTTGAAAACATCCGTTTGAATTTACAACGAACGGCATCTTATTACAGTAATTAAGAAAATACTTGTGTTTAAACAAAATTATAAAGGTATCTGTTGACAAAAACTCTTTTAAAGCGCTTTGTCTCAAACAAATGCAGCAAATGCGAGAACAAAGTTATGACCTCTCTCTCGTGCATGCTGAGTTCTGCATGAGGAAGGTAATCAGTCATATTTTCTAGTGCTAGGCTAATGGGGATGTGCCCGCTGGATGGAGGTCGCATTTTTACGACTACATTAGCTCTAAAGGGGTTGCATTTTCAATAGAGTTCCTTAGTCCTAAGAGTAATCAACATCAATTTTCTCCAAATGGTTATGAGATTTTTTTTACTTTATTTACTGGAGGGCATGGATTTCAGTCTGGAGAATTTGTATGTGGATATCGAGGCTTAACCTTGTTACCAATTTTGCCTAAAGTACCTTGTTACCGGTTCTAATCATTACACCTACTGATAGGGTCGAACTTTACCCCACACTGAAGAAATTTGTCCATTTTACTAAGACACTTGAATACCTTGTTGTGTTGAATTTGAACAAGGTCTCTCAGCTATTTGCTCATCTCTACCTAACTTTATGCTTTAAATACGTCTGAGAAAAAATAGAGGTCTTTTTTGTTGTTTCCAATCATGAATGGGAACACTGATTCTGTAACATACATAATGTACCAATCACAATATGGTATCCATAACGACTATTCTACGACTATAGTGAAATTGTTATGTTGAAATGGAATTCTCTCTCTCAGTTATACGCTTCTCTCTACCTATAATTTTATGCTTTAAATAGTTCTTATAAAGACAGGTCTCTGTTTTGTTTCCAGTCATTGCAGTGCATGTGAACATTCTGGAAAACACAATGTACCATTCAAAAGATGGTATCCATATAACGACTATTCTACGACTGTATTGAAAGTTCAGTCCAGCCCTCTGAACATTTTTTTCCTTTTCACAACCATGGTTACTCTCGTTTTGTCCTGGAAGAGAGAGAAAAATAAAGTTGACATTGTATGGATTGAACTGCGGGATGGACAAATAAATGAAGAGAGAATATGATCTTCTCTGCATTTATTACAGTATGTCCTGTTTAAAATACTATTTACACTCTTCCACGTTTTTCCTCTTTCCCGAGCGCGTCTCGCCTTTCTCGCGTGGAATGATTTTCACGCCCGCTCGCGTTTCGCTCGCTCTACTATACTTGAGGGAAAAGTAGGAACTACTCGTAGTCTACTTTTGACGTGGACAAGTTAGGAAAAATCTGTCGACACCACTGGAAAGAGCGTCTTAAAATGAGTAAAATTGCCCAGTTTGAAAGTGATTACTAAAACTATTACTAAAACGTACAGATGCTTACTAAGACTATTACCTGTATGAAGCAGCCAAATTGTTGTTGGTTTTGTTCTTTTCACTGGGTCCCTTCTGGAGGTAAGTCTACACTCGAAAACCTGCGGATTTTAGAAAGAAAAATGTTTATTACGGTTAGTTTACAACGGCAACAGCATTTGACTTCAACTATCAGAATTTTTCAGCTTTGTTGTTTTTTTGGGCAAATCGATCTTTTTAGCCTGTGTGCTTTGCTTCCTCATGTTAGGTCACGTGATGATACCCCGGAAAACCCTTCTGTCTATTGTTGTCCTATACGCAACGTCCACATTTCCCATAATGCACGTTATTAACCCCCCCTACCCCCGCCCCCCAAATTTTGTATAAGCATTGTTTTAAACTTCTCTTGGGACGGCTGTAATACCCAGGAGAAATGAAAAACAAAGGTTGCGCAAAATTTGGGGGGACAAATAAGGTGCATTGTGGGAAATATGGAAATGGCATGTAGAGCGTTTTCGCATGACGTCACGGCGGCCATGTTGATGTTGGTGAATGAATGGTTAAGTAGCTGTATAAAGCCCGGCTAACACGTGCTTCTTGTTATACGTTATACTCTGCCTACTGGATCATTTAGTGTCCCTTCCCCCTCCCTGCAATAACGAATATTAGCTACTATCATATGACCCGTATGGCCCGCGCGCAATCTTGTTGGAAAACCATATAAAAAAATCCCGTATGAGGGCCAAAAGCCTCAAGTGATAGGGACGGAAAAACGCCTACGGCCCTGCTTAAAAAGCGTTCTGATCGATGAGGGCTTGCTCCGTCAGAACAATTTTAAAAAACACAACGGTCATGTGATAGAATACTTATTGACTGAGTTAGGTCGGGTCGAACGGGGAAATATTTGGCTCTCGGTCAGGACGCATGGACCTCGCTATGTTTTCCTGTCCGGCCCTCATCATTATACTATTTTGGAAAACTGCCTACCTCCCCCCCCCCATAAGCCAACATTTTGCCAGAAGTGACAGGTAAACGTTAATGTTGGCTGAGGGGAGGGGTAGCTGGGCCGTTTCCAAGAAACGTATAATGATCTGAAATTATCCTTACCTCTTTTTTATCCTGAACATAAATACTGTGGTGATGACGGCGCTCAGAACCAGAAAGAAAATACTCAAAGACCAAGTTGCCACGATAGTGTTGAACTTCTTTTCTGCTGTAAAAAGATTGATTGGATACTTACTTCACTAAGCAAAGAAAACGTCACAGTACTCCTTTCTCACGTCACGTTAGCGCCATTTTACTGGGGCTGTCCGAATTGCGCGGTGGTGTAATGCTAAGTGCCCCGGTCTTTGGATCGAAAGGTGTTGTGTTCTTAAACAAGACGCATGCTCACAATTTTATGAATATAGTTATTGGACAATGGTAGCCGTTTTTCACATTAATGGTAGCCCGAAATGGAGCATGGTTTTAGAGACTCTCAAGGGTTTTACTCCATCCCGAGTATAAAAGAAAATGTCTGTGATAGCGAGGTGTCCGTAGTAAGTGCATCACCGTAAAGCGGCCACTCCCGATTTTCCCGCTCGGTGGTTTGTAGTAATGACTGGACTAAAGGAAACATTTAGATATAATAAACACTTAATGACTGTTCCAGAGGGAAACAGTTAATTTTGCTTCGCAAGAATCTTAATGTTTACCGAGGCGGAGCCGAGGGAAACATTGATATTCGATTCGTCATAGATTATGTTGCCCGCTCAGAGATTTTGGCGGGAAACAGTTTAATTGTTAGATGTCATGTGACCTCGAAGTACCCAATACGAGCCCGCGCTTTTGGGGAAAACTTTCCAAATATATAACAATAAAGATTGTTTTTACACGCACACAAAAGAGTGTGGGCCCTGCTGTCAGTGCTGTTGCTATTTTACTTTCGACATTTGTTACAAATTAACATGCTTTTGTTACAGCTGTTGTTGTTTCATGGAGACCTCATGTTGGTTTCCTATAAGAGGGCACGTATATGACGGCAGAAAACCAGCAAAAATTTCTGTTATTAAGTTTTCCGATGGCGGACTGAAGTCCTCGTTCGAAAAGCTCATGAAAATTAAAATTGATACCTATTCCAATACAGGGATTTTTCGGATAACAAAACCTTGAAGTAAAATTCTCTTAGTTTTCAACCTACTTGGCAGCTTTCTCGGGCGTCTTTTAAATTGTACGTCACGCAAGGCTTAGAAATTCAAGTTTTAATGCCCTCGATGACGAAACGAAGTACCGTGCGAGCAGAGGCCCTTCAATCTTCCTTTAGATGCACAAATGCTGTTGTTTTTGTTGTTGTTTTGCTTCTATGGAGATAGACGCCATGTTGGTGTCAGAAACACTTTTTGTTGTGTTTTCTTGCCGGGTGTGCGTGAATTCATTGTTCGAGGAGCTAATAAACATTTAAATTAGTTGTTATTCTAATTTAAAGACTGGTGTTTACTGCTGTTAACTCATAAAAGGAAAGCTCAGAAGACTGAATGATATAATTTTTTAATTTGAATTTTGATGTTTTCAAGCAGAGAGTGCCTTAGGCACGCACGCTGATATAGTGCTTAAATAATACCTGTCCTTTGGCGCAATTATTTGAGTAAACAACTGTAGAGCAGGCTTTTTTGGCGCCGTGAATCCTTGACTAAAGTCCAAAGAAGAGTTTCGATCAGCCATAAAGCAAAAGCGTGGAGAAATGGTGTATGATGACTCGCTTTCGCTTACTAAAACGGCAAAATCTAGAGAAACTTAGAAACGTAGTCTTCCATTTTCGGACCAAGTGAAATCGATTAAGATGTTTTATTAACTTCAATTAACTCGATTTTCAGTTTGCCCTAATTCTTGTGAACGGGACCCTAGAGTTTTGCTTTGTTATTTGGGATGTCGTATACTTGTATATGTAAGCGCTCCTCCTTTTCAAGAGGTATTTTTGGTACGTTGTTTTCTTATCTTTTGAACAAAGTATCGTCACTGTATCGTTATTGAAATCATGTCGAATAAAGTACAGCTGCGAAATGTGTCTCGAGAATTTGTCGCAAGAAGTGCTCGTGTGGGAACAAAGGCTATCAGGGAAACAAAACTAAAAATCGTAGATTGCACTTTTTACAAAAAAAAATAGCGCTATGGATTCCTCGTTAAACAAACACCGCTAATAAGCGCACACTTGGTACTGAATAGTCTTAGCCACATCAATACAACAAGGCCTGTCGGTAATTATTTAAACGCAGTTTAGTCATTGTTTAACAAAACGCGTTCCTTGGCCATTTTTAGTTTGTCTAACACTTTTATCTTTTTCCTAGTCAATGCTTAACGCTTCCATGAAATTGTTCGCGATAGTGGAAGTTTAAAACATCAACAATCGTGAATAGTTCCATGTAGATAAATACAGCTATTGTCGAATCACTTGTGTCATACGTTCTAGCTATAATTGTTCAGGCTTTCCAATTTTTGTTATCTTGTTTTGCACGGTTCGCATGCTGATTACTGTTAGTACTGTGAAAATTTACCAACCTGAAAGGCTTAACGCTTCTCCAAAAAGCCAAAGTACTATGAAAATCACGCTCAGAGCCATAGATCTCTTGCTGAAGGACATAGCTGATGATTGTTGATAGCAGAGAAGTGAACTCGACAAACCAGATCAACGCAGCGCAGTGTGTTGACTGGCTACTGATTATCGGGGGTATGTTCCCGAGAGCTGTCTTGCGTGCATGCGTATAAATCATAAAGCCGGTGTGGCATTGTCGTCATGACCACGTTGTCATAGTGACCAGTTAATGACTAGGCAATCTAGATAACGAAGCTTAATTTTACAAGCCTTTTAACCCCCTGTCATGATAATTTGAGACATTACTTTGCAGCACGAACAGTGCAAGAATCCTACATTTCACTAAGAATAATAGGCCTAAGTAGGAAAGTCTAACTGCGTAGGGCTTTCTGTGACAGACAATTCACTCAGATGAGCGAAGACAGAAAAGAAGGGAAGGTTGAAAAAACTGTCGTGATCCAGGTCAACTTCGGCGTCAATGGGTACTTTCTTAACAAAAATTCCGGCTCGAAATTTAGGAAGTAAAACGTGCTTAATAGATACATTCCGGTTCCACTAGCAAGATACGGAAGAGCGGTACTTGGGACAACCGTTATGCCAGAATGGAAGGGAGATTTTGCTCTAACTGGTAGGACTGGTCAAAGTGGACCCCCATCTTCAAAGGTTGTCACAAATATTCCGGTCAGACCGAATTGAATTGGTCCTTTCCATTTTATTTCCAATCAAAATTTCCGGAATTTTAGGTTGAATGGAAAGCGCCCGAAGGTGTGAATGCTGCCAGACAGAGGGTGTACAATGTGCATGAAACCGCGTTAATACCGACACTAAATGGGCAAAAGAAAGTGTACGTATATTTGATAAACAGGTTAAATTAAGATAGTGCTAAGCACAAGGAAAACTGTCCATGATAATGAAGTGCCCGGAATTAAGCGGGTGTCCGTATGAATCGGGGTTTGACAGTACTCTTAAATAACGCACATTTTGAAGTCTATCTTTGTGCATCTTTTGCCTCGCGCTCAAGTCCTCCGAAACCTAGTTTTTATTGGTCTTTGAAAACTCTTCTGACGCTTGCAAATGTTATTGGGATAGGCCAGGGCAGTTTTTTAAAGTCATTTATCCATTGTCTCCTAATATCAGCCAAACAACGTTCTAAAGGATCCAAAATTCTATTCCAAAAAAAGATGCTGCTGACCTCATGCAGGGGCGGATCTAGGGGGAGGGTGCAGGGGGTGCGCACCCCCCCCCCCCCTGAGATGACCTGCGGTTTCTTAATACAATTGGTATTCTGCAAAAAAAAAAAAACTATGTGGTTTATTGGTGTTGAGGTAGAGCAAGAGACGAGTGCACCCCTTCCTAAAAAAAATCCTGGATCCGCCCCTGTCATGTATTGTAGCCAAATTATTGACAATGAAACGGAACGTCTGCTTTGTACAGTTTGTAAAGCAACCCCCAAACCAGACGCTTCAATATTTCTATACCGAAAATACACTACCAGGTTAACCCTGCCTCATCGTATCCAGTAACAGGCAGCCCACTAAACCTCTTAGATAATTCTTAAACCATCATTTTGACTTTGCACAAGTAAGCCATGTTTAGGGACGAGTTGGAGACAACGGGAGAAAAAAGTCGCAAGAAGTCGACCAGGTTTCCTTCTTGATCGATGATCATCTTGCGATGACCCAGCCAAAACAAAAACAGTGTAGAAACTGCCTTCTCTAATACCCTTACAACAGATTAGACAGTCAAAGACAGCACACTCTATTTGAAAAAAGCTACAAAAAAAAACTTTAATAACTGGAAAACTACCTGACAATGATTTTCTTGGTACCTATATTTCATCGACATTTCCATGACATTCCCTCGGATACACGTATCAACACCGCATCATCAAAACTGAAACACTTACTGTAAACAACCTTTCTTTCTTTCAACAAACACTATCTCTACTTACAAACACATGAGAGTGCTAGAATGCAACTTTCAAGCCGATCTGTTTCTAGGCAAATTCGAAACACAATAAATTGTTCTAATCTGCTGCTAACAGCAGCAAAGCTTATTAACAGCTAAGAAGCACCCTCTATAGAAGTTTACATGTAGTAAACTATTTTATTTACATCTTTTGCATCTTCGAAAACCCTATAATTGGATGAATGTCAAAAGTTTATCTAACTTCATCGCTTTCATTCTAAAAAAAAAAATAATAATCATAATAACAATCAAACAAAAAAATTTTAAAAAAACTCGATGTAAGAGAATAAAAGGTAAATAAGCACTAATGTCATAATAAAACGCTAAGTACTCTATCTCTACGTACGCTGATCACTAGGCATAAATATTGCCGCTACAAGTCTAAACCTTTATTCTTGTTGTGGATGTGACTGATTTCAAGTTTTGACCGATTTTTCGATCCAGTTCAGTGTACCCTGAAAGAAATCCGTGCATACATATACGTTAGTTTTCATCCTCAAAGAGGCTTTTGGTTTTAAGATAACCCACGAAAGTTGTGTTCGAGGTACTGAGCACAGTCGCACCCGGGCTGCTTGTGCTCTACATCCTATTAAAAGCCGAACGTTTTCCCTGCTTTTACTTGTTACTTGCTTCTTTACATCGATGAAACAGCTCTTAGTAGAATATTCAAATTAATAGCTGCCTAGCTTTTTATGTTACGTTTTCAGTACAAAGCAAGCAATTATCAGCAAGACAACAATTCCAATGCACATCACGGCAACAGCCACCGCCATCAGGGAAATGATGGTGTTTTTGTCCTTTTCTGAAATTTAAAAAAGAAAAAAAAAAAGATAAAGAAAAGTCATTTACTAGCGATTAACGATTCCACCGGTACCCCTTTGGAAGCTACCAAAGCAAGCCCTTTACGGCCTTGATAGAGAGGAAAAGCGTTACGTCACGTTACCATTGTAGCAAATGTTTGGATGACAAAAAACCAAAAATTCACTTAAAAAGTAAATTCGCACTGTTTCAAACTTCATCGATCTTATTCAATTTCATTTAATTTGTCAAATGTTGGCGAATTTTCTGGGGTTGAATCCGAAAGGACCGTATCTGAGTTTAGAAAGAGAAAAGGAAACGTGTGTTGTGTCCTCCTACTCCGTAAAGCGGGCGCGTGAAATTAGGAATTTTCATGTCGCAGTCGTGCAACGATGGCTAAAACCTGTGCAAAGTTGTTTTTCTTGTTAATATAAACCTATTGCTTTTTTGTCGTTCTCGTTGCCGTCGCCGTCGTCGTTGCTTAAGCTCCCTTAGTGTGATCCAAAAATTTTGCTACCATGATAACGTGACGTCACACTTCTCCTCTCTGTTGGTTTTACTCCATTTTTTG